GGTTTTTTCGGTACTGACTAGTTTAATCGAGATGGTTCTGCCCATATATATAATAATAAACTCATGATTTTATTAAATTTTTAATTTTACATTTTAATTTTACATTATAATTTTATAATTTTACATTCAGTTCACAGATATCGTATAAGACCACAGTGCACAAAGAAATATAAATGTCACCTTTTTAATAAGGAGAAAAAAATCCCAGCATAAACACTACAATACCGAAAATCAAAGCTCCATTTTCTTTTGGTATCCAAGCAACAAAACAACCGTACAAACATTATAAACCTTTCACCAATTTCCAGCGACCTGCCCACGTTTTTTCGCATGTCTTCTGTTTTGAAATGTTCTGAGCACAAAGAAGTTGATTTTGTGATGAAGAATCCGTCCTTTGCATGCTGGCGATTCAGGAGATTGCACCATCTGATTCGCTGCTGGAAGTCATTCGGAAACGAGAAGAAATGCAGACCTGTTGGATTGCCTGTTGTGTCATAATAGCTATTAGCACAACCAAAAAGCGGCACAGTGTCTTCCTCTTCTTTTCGAAGAAGAAGGAGGAATATCCTGCGTAGGGAAAGTATCGTTCATTGTCGAAATATCTCGATGAAAAGGACAGAGCACCACCACATTTCACTAAACTCTCACTAGAACTCGCAACGCGACTCAACACTAACCTCGCTATCATATTTGCGCGGTTACACATTTAATATGGCGCCGCGATGCCTGGAAAAACTCCTGGTCAGGAAAAGGAATTAATTGTCAACGCTTTGAAAATAAACAATGCATTGTTTTAACAGCATTTGTTGCGCTTTATAAAGTGAGCACCCTTCCTGATACGTCTCCGAATACGTTTTCAAGAGAAAAGCAACATGTTTAACCCTGGCGTAGCGGCAGTCGTGCTTTTTGGAACTCTACTGATCAATACTGAAGGTCGTAGTCTGCAAAACTCCGAAGAAAACCAAGGTTAGTTAATTATTTTTTCTCAGTGGTCATTGGAATTCAAAATGGTAATTTGTTGCTCACTTCCAGGCCCTCGGATGCACCTACCATGTGTGTCCATGTCAAGAATTTTCTGAAATTTGTTACACTGCACACTCGAGAAAATCATGAAATTTACAGGCTTATTATATAAGCCTATCTTTGACCTCTCTTTCATTCGTGGGACGGTAGTTACTAAAACATGTGGGACTCCTTCGCAGTAAAAGCTGTTAACCTACGGATTGTCGGTTTAATTCAATAGAATGTGTATTCTTAAGTCTCGGGTCTTAAAACCTAAAAATATAGTTTTCAATGTACTAAATTTCTGCCCAATGTCTTTTTTTCCCCGACGGAGAGAAAACAGAAAGATTATAAGGGAGGAGACAGGGAATAAAGGGAAGGGAAAACACTCAGACTATATTTATTAACTTATCTTGATATTTCTTCTCCCAAGATAATTCCACGCAAAGGGAGACAAATCAAACTCAGACGACCAAGTCAGCTTTCGCAATGATCATGGAAGCCAACGGCGTACATGGAAAGAGCAGAGGTCAGTGTGTCACTCTCAAACTGACATGAACTCACAGTATCTCCCCACTAGTCGTTAATAATCACTCACTGTATTTGAAATTAGGAGAATTAGGTTATATTTCAAGAGGGAAAAACAGAAGCAAGTTCAATTGAAAATAGTCTTTGATCTAACTGCTCACTTCTTATCAGACGGGTTTGAGCTTTTTCAAGGAGACATCCTAATGACGGACGACATACGTGACGAATTGCGTGACATGGGTTTGTTTCCACCGCGTGACAGCCCAAACAGTCCTTCGAGGCTTGACAGCCCAACCAGTACGGGACCAAGGCGTAAACGGGCTGCCATTTCAAACATTGCACGGCGATGGATTGAAAGCAATAATAAGCCAGAGATCCCCTACCAACTCGAGTCCAGCGTGCGTAAGTAAAACGTGAACTTTTCATCGACCTTAGGTTTTTTAACCGAACTTCCCTCTGGTAGATCTTTAATTTTTTTACTTTTTTTTCACCCTTTCCTCTCGCTTCGTTATCTTAATCATCTTTTCTGGCATCCAGGTCACGCTCATCGAGTGATCAAATAAGGGATAGATCATTGGGTCCGATACGTGCCATGCCTGCGTTTTGTCCCGCGAACGAATCAACGGTCTTACATCAGTTTTTTCGCCGGTGGAGGGTGAGTAGCGAAGTCCCGTAAAAGACAATTTTTTTCGGTTTAACTGAGAATCATTTTCTATACAGAAATCATTTAATAACGCCGTGTTATTTCAGTTGTTTTTCGCACGTTGGAAGACAAGGAGGTGCCCGACGAATTTCAATAGCCCGAGCATGTGAATACCTACATATCGTTGTCCGCGAAATTGGTAAGACATCTCTAACCCATTTGGACTATTTTGATTTTTTTCCCCTCAGTCAATAGCTCAGTTCGCAAGCGAATTCGATATATTATAACTCTTTCCTGACTATGTCCTCGTCTCGTTTCAGGTCATGCTCTTGGGTTCTGGCCCGAACAGTCTCGGCCCGACCGAGAGAGCTATGTAAACATTTACTGGAACAATATTTACCCTCGTAAGTACGATTAGCGTGAATGCCAGGTTTAAGTAATCACGTAAGGATATTTTAACGGGAGGAGAGCAAATCGAAATTATTCTTATATGTAGCTTTGCAGAAGCTGAGTATTGTAAAAAATATTGTCAACTCCCCGGAGGGAATGCTTGTTCATAACAGGTCAATTCCCCCCCACTTTTCTCTGCCAGAAATCCATAACTCCTGGGTATTCGGTGTCATACAACGCTACCCAGAGGGGTGTGTTCATCCCTTATAATGATTGCGAAGTTTCCAAGCACGACAAGATTAATTTGGAAGAGGTCCTGGACTTCAGTGGCAAATATTTCCTACTACACCTATCCATCGAAGTGAATTAATCTTAACCAATTTTATCTGTTCTCTTTGTTTAGAGTTTAGGTATGCTTTTCACAAATACGCAGGCGGGAGAATTAACAGTCTTGGTATCCCGTATGATTCCCGCGCTTTCAGTATGAACCGCCGAACCACTATCGCTCGGAAAAACGGCGATACACGCCTCAGAAATACTCGGGGACTGAGTCGGAGGGATATTGCGCAGGCTAAGTTGCTCTACTGCAGAACCAAGGCAACTGACAAACCGCCTACAAATAAGTCACCAACAGGTGAGACCGTTTTGTTTCATTAAAATTATGTTTCATAGTTGTTAACGGAATCCATAACAAGTAGCTTGTGGTAGACCACATCCTAACACGAGAGAATACCTTATAGTTGACGTTTGAATGATTTGTAGTCTTGCTTTTCTGGGTACATGTATAAAAAGAAATAAAACGTTCACAATATCCCGACATCACACCGGATAAATAAGGGGGTAGAGGCGTCTATTCTCGTGAAGTCTTCATTTATCAATTATTGTTTACATTTTCAGGTTGTCGTTACTCAGACAAGCACAGGTTTTGCGCTTACTGGGCATAACAATGATTCTGTAAAACAGGACACACGGAATACATGAACGAGAACTGCCAGAAAAGTTGCCTTTATGTGAAAGGTGGATGGAAAAGTCTCCAGCTTTATAACAGTTTTCACGTTACATAGGT